GACAGGTCCAGAATATTATTACAAAGCATTGCAAATGCTGCAGCAAGTGAGATATCTATATGATACAGGTAGTCCTTGACTGGTTAGTGACTAAAGTTACAATGGCACTGGAAAAAGTGATTTATGGCCAATTTTCACACTTATGATCTTTGCAGCATTCCCATGATCATGTGATCAAAATTTGGGCGCTTGGCAACTGGTATGTATTCATGACAATTGCATCCTCCCAGAATCATGGAATCCCCATTTATAACTTTCTCAGCCGGCTTCCAACCAGCAAAGTTAATGGGGAAGGCAGATTTGCTTAACGACTGCATATTTCACTTAACAACTGCAGTGATTTGCTTAACAACTCTGGCAAAATAGGTAAGGTAAAATGGGGCGCAATTCACTTAGCAACTGCCTTGCTTAGCAACGGAAATTTTGGGCTCAAATGTGGTCCTTGATCAAGGACTACCTATCCAATGGTGGATTCCAACTGTTGCTTTTTGTTTTTTAAACGCCCTGCCAACAAACACGCACATCTGCACACTTCTTCAGTTTAAAGAAGTATTGTGTATTTAGCTCCATGGTGATGTACATGCACTTTTGACAAAAATGATATAATTTCCTGCCAATAAGTTTCTCCCCTCTAAAGTTCAACTCTTTTCAGAATTAACACTTTGCTTGCCCTGATTGCAACAGTGAAGGGATATCTTTTGCTTCCTCAATTTGCTTTCTTTTAGCAGTTTTATGATCCTTCCAGATTCATACATACATACGTGTTCCTCCAGCCACCCACTCTATTCCAACAAATTTTGTAGCCATACCTGTCAAGTAAGAGTTATAGCTCATAAAGCTAAAATATATTCGCATTTTTGTGGAAGTGCGCAGCAGCTATAACCATCCCAAAGAATCATTATCACAGCTGTCGGGGAAGGGGAAAATACTGAAGGAAAATAGAAAGGCAAATTTGAGAGTACGTCATGTGCCTCACCAACTAAATGTGACAGGATTTTAATAATTCTTATCCAAACTGGACTACCAGATCTTGCCTGCAAAACCGCAGAATACCACTAGGGGCAGTATTGACAGGTCTCTTTGCTACCATCAGAAGGTCATCCAGAATTTTGCAGCTCAGATCTGCTAGTCCTAATTTTAAAAAAGTGGGAGGGGGCAACAGGGGAGACATCCCTTATGACTCCAGAAGTCTCGAAAATGGCAGAGTGTCACCACCAGATTTATAATGTGCTTGTTAGTGTAGATAAACATGAATCCAGAAGATGATTTGAACCTCTGATGGTGAAGGAAATGGTGTTTCATTAAGCCATGTTTAGAAAATCCATGCCCATAAAAATACCCCCTTCCACATACGGGACTTTCTGGTCCTTCAAGTTTGTCCTCTTCAAATGTGCCAACCTAGAAATAAACAAAGAACAAAAAGCAAACACTGCTATTCCACCAGGAACTGATCGGTTATCAAAATTTTCCCATACTGCAGAGAATGAAAATTGTTTGCATATACCAGTGATGGCTAACCTTTTAGAGACTGAGTGCCCAAACTGCAACCCAAAACCGACTTATGTATCATCGGTGCTGGATGGGCGTGGCCGTGGCTGTGGTGGTAACGGTAGACTGGGTGGGACTAAAAAGTTCAATCAATCAATTCCAACTTTGCGAGATCTTTTTTTCCCCCTCAAGAAGTTGAAATTGATTGATTGATTGAACCTTCTTTTTTTTTGCACATGGCGGCGGAGGCCTAAAGCGAAAAGATTTTATAAAACCCAGCTGAAGGCCTAGGACTGGGGCGACGGCGTGTGTGCCCACAGAGAGAGCTCTGCGTGCCACCTGTGGCACTCGTGCCATAGGTTCGCCACCACAGTCATATACTGTATTCCAGTAGTGGGATTCAAATATGTGAACAACTGGTTCTCTGTGTGGATGCCACTTCCGGAAGTCCATTCTGGGCCTGGGCAACAAAAAATTAGCTACCGGTTCTGCCAAAGTGGTGCGAACCAGCTGAATCCTAGCACTGCTGTACTCCCATCTATATAGCCTTACTTCATATACAAAAAATCTATATAAAAAATCCCCATGGTCCTTATGAAAAGGAGCTGCAAAGCTGGCTAGCTACCTTTCCTTCTCCAAAATCTGGAGCTGGGAAAAATGGACAGGCAATAATTTCTCCAAATTGTTGCCAGTCCCATCGATGGCAAGAACAGAGGGCCAAAACTAGATGTTTTTATATTGTGACTCCTTCTATTGTGATTGTATGCCATAGATTTATTTAACAAATGGCTGTAGACCACTGTTTTTCATTTTGGCAACTTTGAGAGCACTTCAATTCCCAGAATTCTCCAGCCAACCTGGCTGGGGAATTTTGGGAGCAGAAGCCCATTCATTTAAAAATGTTTGAAAAACACTGCTGCAGAGTGAAGAAGACATCAAATGGAATGAGGCTTATCATTATCCAAGTAAAAAAGTCTTCCAAGAAGCTTTTTCTGTAATGCCTTGGGAACTATAACAGAGTAAGAGTTGAAAGGGACCTTGGAGGTCTTCTAGTCCAACTTTCTGCTCAAGCAGGAAACCCTGTATCATTTCAGACAGTGTCCAATGTCTTCTTAAAAACCTCCAGTACTGGAGCACCCAGAACATCTGGAGGCAAGTCATTCTATTGATTAATTGTTCTGTTAGGAAATTATTCTTTAGTTCTAGGTTGCTTCTCTTTTTGATTACTTTCCATTGGTTGCTTCTTGTCCTGCCTTCAAGTGCTTTGGAGGATAGCTTGACTCCCTCTTCTTTGTGGCAACCCCTGAGATATTGGAACACTGCTATGATGTCACCTCTAGTCCTTTCATTAAACTAGACATATCCAATTCCTGCAACCATTAGCCTACACAGTCCCATTTATGTGCTCCTGTTTTAAGATTATGAAAATTTTTATTATATTATTGTTTTATTTTTGGTAAATCATCTAGGTGCATAGTGGTCTAAGAATCTAGCAAATAAATATATAAATGGGCTGTCTATAAATTCTGTAAGCTCGGTATTTCAAAAATAAATCGAAAAGTTAGAGAAAGAGATGAAAAGACTTACTTTTACTGAAGTTTTAAACAGTTAAGCCAAAAATAAATCAGCTCAGCTCTCTAATAACAATCCAATATTGGAAGATCATAGAAGTCTGCAGCTGCTATCAAAATGGTGTAAAAGTCCATTTGTTGAAGTGCCCTTAAGTCAGGAAAAAAAGCCTATTATTCCTGTAGCTATTCAGCCTCTTGGTGTCCAAAATGCACTAATTTTTTTTCTTCAGAAATGATAGGATTGCCACACTCCATTGTAACATTGCTTCTTTATTTTGTACACATAGATTCATTTGCATATTTCAAAACAATACTCAATAAAAACATTGTAGATGAAGTTGCATGTAACTGAGACAAGAAGGAAGCTTACATTTCTGCCTATACTGTATGACGTTACAAGTATTTTTATTTTAAAAAGGCAAAATAGAATGGTAAATGCAGTAGAAATACATACGAATAACTTCTCTTGCTGACCTAATGGGAAAGGACTGATGTGTTTTGAAATACAAAATTGGAAAGCAATATTATCTAATACCAAGTGCTTGGAATATTTAAAAAAATATTGGATTAGTAACCATAAAGAAGCCAAAAGTTATGTATTTAATACTTTGCAAAGCTTGTATTTTTCTACTATGTTCTTTTTATTTAAAAAACAGAGGATGTCTTACACTTTAAAAAAAATATCAAAACGTAAAGAAAAACATTTATACCATTTTTCTGTAAAAGAATCTATTAAGTTAAGAAACTTACAGGCAAACATGTTTAACTCTTACTTAAATGCTGCTCCACTGCTGTTGTTATCTTTCAGCCTGGCGTAATCACAAATAAGTGGCTTTCCATTTCCCCAAATCAAAGAGTATTCCTTGTAACCTCCTCAACTTTTTGTTAACTTTTGAAAGCAAAAAAAAAACCAACCAAAACCCCCTGCTTTTTTTAGAGTAAAGTTACTGCAAGCCTCAACAGCTCCTGCATAAGTCATTTTGCAGGACATGGGTGGATTTCTATTACAGATTTACAGGCAGACATGAACACATTACCATACAATTAATTCCTCCCCAGCAACCATGGAGAACAAACCCTCCATAGTGGTGCAAAGCTAGCCACTCCTCCAGCACTGCTTCTGTACAGTCCCCATTCATCCCAATGGAAAAATGCAAGCAGCCAATGGCTCTACTGTAAACATCTATCTTTCCCCCAAAAATTATATATTCATAATGGAAAACAGCAAGTATATTTGGTAAGGGCAAAGAGTTCCATCATCTTTGCAAGATGACAGAAAGAGGAACTCAATATTTTTAAGGCACTAAAATGGAGGAATATATTTTTTTTAAAGGCTAAATAAAATATGTACATCAAGAATGCTCTGAATTCTTCTTTTCGGCTAACAAAGTTCCTATTTTTGCTGCATACTTTCCCTCTGAATCTGACTGATGGTGGCTGTTGGCATGCATTTCTGAAGTTAGTAGTCTGGATACAGTGTGTAGCCAAGGTGGCAAAGACAGAGAATGGGGAACCCTAACTGCAAGCTAAACAATTTAAGGAAAATGCTAGGAAGTGGATTCTTGCAAGAATACAGGTAGTCTTCAATTTACAACCACAATTGAGCCCAAAATTTCTGTTGCTAAATGAGACATTTGTTAAGTGAGTTTTGCCCCATTTTACGACTTTTCTTGCCACAGTTGTTAAGTTAGTGACACGGTTGTTGAGTGAATCTGGCTTCCCCATTGACTATGCTTGTCAGAAAGTCTCAAAAGGGGATCATATGAGGCCAGGACACTGCAACCGTCATAAATGTGAGTCAGTTGCCAAGCATCTGAATTTTGATCCCATGATCATGGGGATGCTACAGTGGTTGTTAAATGTGAAATATGGTCATAAGTCACTTTTTCCAGGGCCGTTGTAACTTTGAATGGTCACTAAATGAATTGTTGTAAGTTGAGGACTACCTGTATCCTGGAGTGTAACAAATGAGCATCACAGCATTCTTCCAACAAGGATAGTGCAGCCCCCCCCCCTCAGCTTTTTTTTTCTTGACTGGCACCTGCAATTCCAACCACCATCACCACCATTAATAGCCCTGAAGCTCCTGACAAACTATACTGGTGAAGATACATACATCGGAATAGCCAAAGATGATTAGGCAGAAACATTTGTGAGCCATCCCAAGCTCTACATACAACAAATGATCATTTGGCTATTATGTGCAATAGACCTGGGATGGAGAGAGGAAAAGAATTATTGTGTAGCAAGCACAGAGCATGAATCCAGACTGAGAGCAAGGAAACTGAGAAGGCTGGAGAGAAAGAGTGCAGGAGAGAAAAAGAATGAATTAGATCAGGATTGCAGGCAGAGGAGAGAGACAGAAGAAAGGAACAAATAAAAGCAAAAGAGAGAAAAGCATGACCCCTTCCTCTCTTTCCCCTTTCTTCTTCCCTTCTTTTGAGCACTGCTGCCTTGATTCGCCTTACTGCCAGCCACTGTCTACCCCTGGATGAATATCAGCCGTGTAGAATACACCAGGTCACCAAGGTACACCAGCAGATTGATAGCTGTTAGAACAGCTACGGTAAGCCTCTTGTCCCAGTCACACATGTTGCGATTTCTACAGTATGAGGGTCGAGATGGCTGTCCCTGATGTTTTCTGTCAAAGTTGTAGATAGGCCAAATAATTGTGGCAGTGGCATACATGAGCACAGCCAATAAAGTGTAGCCGCTGAGGAATTTGTTGAATGGACATGGCAACCAGCCAGTGCATTCGCCAATGCAGAGGATAATCACCACAAGGGATAGGATGAAACAGATACAATAGACCGCCATGCACCACTTAAGAGCATCTGGGTCGTCATAAAGAGGTGGATCACTTATGAAGACAAAGATGATGCAGGCAATGAAAGTCTCCACCACCTTCAGCAATCCTGGGACTGTCGCCATGTAGCCGGTCACTTCTCCTGGCTTAGCTCTGGTTATGCTGACCTCGGTGAGGTAAGCTATACAGGCTAGGCAAGAAAACACAGTGGCAGAAATGCGGTATCCCCGTTCATCATTAGAAAGATTCTGATTCCGAATGAAGAGCATCGGGTAGATGATGGAAGCAGACAGACACATCAGAGTAGCATACATGGCGAAAGTGATGGGGAAGTTCTTCCAAGAGACCGGCATGCGATGCTGAAGGCCAGCAAACTCAACCACCAAGATGACAATGGTGATGGCAAAGCAGAAGCACCATGAGAACATGCACCAGTCCCCATTGCGGCCATTCCAGGCACCCCGGTTGGCCACTAAACTGAAGGCCACACAGGTGAAAAGGGCTTCCAGGAGGCGAACAATGCCCAGCGTAGAGGTCAGGGCGCTGGTGTTGCCCACCGATTTTGAGCGGGTTACTGGCATTGTGCTAAGATCTAAGGAAGAGAAGAAAGACACATAATGCAAAACTTTATCACATGAAAATATACAATTTAGAATACATTTCCTAAATTTAGGGCTAAGGAATATAGAACAGTGGGCAGATGTAGGAGATAACCAGACTTAGCCTGAGGGAGGGGTCAAACACATCATCAGTCATGAGTCCCCGCGTGCCCACAATAGATCTAAGTCCAGCCTACCTTGAATGCCTCTCTTATCACCCACTCATTTCCCTTAACCGCCAGTTGGTCAGATTATTGCAGAGAGCTTAAGCTTGTAATGAATCTTTATATTCATTTGAACTGCCTGAATCACCTGATTTCCCCGGTGTTTGACACTAGCCTTCTCCAACCCTGCAGCTTTTAAATAGGTTGGATTCCCTGTCTTACCGTTCCCAACTAGAATTCCATTCTTATCTTCCCTAGTAATAATCCAAAATAACTGCAGGACTACAAATTGAGGAAGACTAATTTATGTACTGTTGTCTCCTGAATACAGTAGAAGTGAGAGCAGGGATGGGAGAAATGTATCACTCCAGCTTTCATTGGACATGATCCGACGGCAGTCCCAGCCAGGATGGATTACAGATAGTCCTTGACTTACAACCATAACCAAGCCTAGAATTATGGTCATAAATTGTGCTGGTTGTTAAGTGGATCAGCTCGTCCAATTTTACAGACCTGTTTTGCAGCGGTCGTTAAGGGAATGCCATTGTTGTTAGGCAAATCCACTGTCCACAATGGGTGTTGTTGTTTTTTTGCTGAAACCAGAAGTAACCACCACTTTCTGGCAAAAAAACATCTAAATCCTGGTCACGTGACCATGGGATGCTGCAAACACAACCCAAATGCGATCATGTGATGGGTGGAGGCCATCAGAACTTTGAATCTGGATCGTAAGTAGCCCTGGGGAGGTACATTGTAACTTTGAATGGTTGCTAAGTGAACAGTCATACGTTGAGGCCTATCTACATATGAATTCTAGTCCAGTGTCTGGAGAATTAAAGAATCACAGGGCTGGAAGGCACCTTGGAGCTATTCTAATTGAACACCCTGCCCACAGCCGACCTTATTACATCCCTGACAAATGACTGTCCAATTTTTTCTTGAAGACCTTTAATAATGGACCACCCATAATTCCAGGAAACAGGCTGTCCTATTGATTAATTGTTCTCACTGACAGGAAATTTCTCCTTAATTCCAGATTGGATCCCTCTTTAATGAGCTTCCACTCACTGCTTCTTGTCCGGCCCTCGGGTGCTTTGGCGAATAAGCCAACCCCCTCCATCATGGGATTTCCCCTCAAGTTTCAGAAGACAGCTATCATGTTACCTGTTGTGGCTCCGTCTTGTGAGCCCCTCTTATCGGAGGAAGAAGGCTCTGAACATGAAGGAGAGGAGATGGCCAGGCTTCCCTCTCCAGGACCCTCCTCTTTGGCAATGCCTCAGGTGTCTCCCGACGGAGAAGTGATTGACCAGGAGCCAGGTGGTTCTGAGATTGGCCAGGAGCCAGGTGTTTCTGAGATTGGCCAGGAGCCAGGTGTTTCGGATAGTGAGGAAGAGAAGTTGTGGCTGGATCCACGCCAGCGTAGGAGTGACAAGTGTGCGCAGCAGAAAAGGAGACGTGCCAGAGATTAAGCTGAGTCACTGGACCACACCGCACAGGCTATAAAAGGGAGGTGGTGGCCATTTGGACTCTGTGACGGACAAAAGCTGAATCTCTGGCGAAGTAGTTTGCTGTGGACTTAATTTTCTAACTGTGTGTATTGTTTTTTGTTCTCTGAGTAAAAGTCTTGGCAGGCAGCTACGAAGCTGCTGCCAAGTTTTCTTATCTGTGATTGAAGTGTGGAGAAGTTCTTTAACCCTCGGCTGGCTGTTTGGGTGTGTGTGTCAGACGGGGACAGAACATCTTGTCCGTCACCCGAACATAATCCATCGTTAACCCACGATGGACCAACAGCTGCAGCAGCAGGTACAGCAGCTGATGGATGCCAATCAGCTCCTACAGCAGCAAGTGGCCCAGTTAAATGCTCAACTGACTTTGGGAAATGCTCCTGCAGCTCTTCCCCCCCTCCTCCTCCTCCCCATTCGAGATGCCCAGTGAACGTGCCAGAGAGATTTTCTGGGCAGACAGAGCTGTTCCCGGCCTTCATGGGACAATGCCAACTCTTTATGGCGATGAGGCTGGAGGAGTTTCCGGATGATTGGGCTCGGGTGGCATTCGTGATTAGCTTCCTTTCTGGCTCTGCCGCCCGATGGGCCACGCCCCTGTTGTTGCAAAACAGCCCATTGCTCCTGGACTATCAGGGCCTTTTGCAACACCTGCGGGTGATGTACGAGGACCCCCTGCGCGTTCAGACGGCAGCAAGGCGCATCAAGGACCTCCGCCAAGGAAAGCGCGCCCTGCAGGACTATATCGCTGAGTTCTGACTCCTAGGCCAGGACTCAGCTTGGAATGAGGCGGCGTTGATGGATGCCTTCCAGGACGGCCTCTCAGACGATCTGCAGGACGAACTGGTTCGGGTGGAGGTGCCTCAGACCCTCGACGCCCTGGTGCTCCAATGCCTGTGCATCAACGCCCGCCTTCAACAGCGACGGCCTCATCGGCACCTTCCGGAACCACCGACAGCTTCGGCACCCCCGCGTTTCGCACCGACAGTACCCCGGACCACCCCATGCTTTGTGGCCCCGGCTGAGGAGCCCATGGAGCTCGGACCAGCTAGACCTCAACTGACAGCCCAAGAGCGGATGCGGAGACGCCAAGGGGGATTGTGCCTCTATTGCGGCGAGGCTGGACATTTTGCCGCCTCGTGTCCCAGGAAGCGGAGTGGGGCGCTTAAGCCTGTTCCGGAATCTCGGCGTGACCAACTGGGAAACAGGCCAGGCCTGGCCTAGGGGAAACCCTGGGCCAGGCACGTAACCATGCCCCACCAGAGTCGGCGACTGTGGACTGTGAGCTCCCTCAGCACCTGATTCTGGACACCCGGGTGTTGTTGGCCAATCGGTCGGAGGGGCTTCAGGCACATGCGCTGGTGGACTCCGGGGCCACGACGAACTTCATGGACCAGGCCTTTGTGGCCTTTTTTAAGGTTCCCTTGGTTCCGGTGGACCCTCCGTTGAGGGTTGAGACTATCGATGGGCGGGAACTCGTGGCAGGGCCCATCAAATTTGCTACCCAGCCCTTGCGCCTCGCCTTTGGGAACCACGAGGAGGCGATCCAGTTCTATGTGATGGCGGACCTGCATTTTCCATTGGTCCTGGGGTTGGCCTGGCTTCGGGCCCACGATCCTCAGGTGGCATGGTCGAGAAATGCCATCTCGTTCCCGAGCCTGCAGTGCATCGACCATCTCCGCCACACCTGTGCCGGCCAGGACGTCTCTACCCCGGCCGTCTCCTTGCCTCCTGAGCTGATGCCCTTCGCCGATGTGTTCAGCGAAAAGGAGGCGGACCGATTACCCCCGCATTGACCCTACGACTGCCCGGTGGACCTGCTGCCCAATGCACCACTGCCTGCGGGCCGCCTGTATTCCATGTTGGAGCTTGAATTGGCTGCCCTACAGGACTTTATGGACAAGAACCTGGCCCGAGGGTTCATCCGGCCTTCATCCTCCCTGCTCTCGGCCCCGGTCCTCTTTGTGAAGAAGAAGACAGGGGATTTACGCCTGTGCTGTGATTACCGGCGCTTGAACGCCATCACAGTGCGGAATCGCTACCCCCTGCCGCTCATCCCGGAGCTGATGGAGAGGTTGCAGGAGGCCTCGATCTTCACCAAGCTCGATCTCCGAGGGGCCTACAATCTGGTATGCGTGAGAGAGGGGGACAAGTGGAAGATGGCGTTTGGCACCCGATACGGCCACTTCGAGTACACCGTCATGCCGTTAGGGTTGACCAACGCCCCCGCGGTCTTCCAGCACCTGATGAATGATGTGTTTCGGGACATGTTGGACCGGTTCGTGGTGATCTACCTGGACGATATTTTATTCTATTCCCAGACCCAGGAGAGCCACCTCCAGCATGTCCACCAGGTCCTGCAGCGCCTGCGGAAGAAACAACTCTATGCGAAGTTGGAGAAATGCTACTTCTTCCAGACTTCCATAGAGTTCCTCGGGCACATCATCACCTCCGAGGGCATCGCGATGGACCCGCGCAAGGTGGAGGCCTTGCGCAGTTGGGAACCCCCACGTCAGGTGAAAGACGTCCAGCGTCTGCTGGGGTTCGCCAACTATTACCGGACATTCATCCCGGCCTTTGCCACCCTGACCTTGCCGCTGACCCAACTCCTTCGGAAGAAGGTCCCGTTCCAGTGGGGGCCCCCGCAGCAGCAGGCCTTCGAGGTCCTCAAGCAGGCCTTCATCACGGAGCCGGTCCTGAGGCATCCCAATCCACACTGTCCGTTCGTGGATGAGATGGATGCGTCCAATGTGGCGATTGGAGCGGTACTGCTACAGGCCCCGGTGGATGGTGGCACTCTTTTTCCCTGCGCTTATTACTCCCGGAAACTCAATCCTTCCAAGCGCAACTACACCATCTGGGAAAAGGAGTTGCTGGCTATCAAGGCCACGTTCGAGGCTTGGCTGCATCACCTTGAGGGGGCCAGACACCAGGTGGAGGTGCGGACGGACCATCGGAACCTCGAGCACCTCACGACGTGGAAGTTGAACCAGCGGCAGATCCGGTGGTCGTTGTTTTTCGCCCGGTTCAACTTCCACGTCGTGTATATTCTGAGCAACCTCAACCAGAGAGTGGATGCGCAATCCCGCAAGCCAGAATACTTCTGCCCCAAGGATTCCCTTCCCCCACGGACGGTGCTGCCAGCAGAATCCTTGGCCGCGATCCAGGAACCGGCAAACTTGCGGGCTCGGGTGCTGGAAGCGCAGCGCCGTGATGACTGGTCACAGCAACGGAAAGCGGAAGTCAGCCCAGCGTCCCCATGGACCTTGGAGGAAGGCTTGCTGAAACACCAGGGCCGGCTGTACGTGCCCACAAGTCCGCTCCGAG